GAAATAAGGCTCTTCGTAGGGGTTCATGAGAATAATTGAAGCTCGGGTCAAAAATGCTTTGCATTGACATAAGGACCTTCAGCTTATAAAAGGGTACCATATTTCCGATCAGTGGATATAGACATGGAATAATATTTTCTAATTTTTTTTTTTTGTAGTATTATGAACGATGGTGGCTGTTGTTGTGAGTATGTGTTGTATTTTTCGGAGGTCGTAGACGATTGCGGACCCGACTAAATACTGTAAAAATCTCGAAAATTATCCTTGCATTCTATTACTACTGTGGACAGAAATGAAGAATTTATTTTGTCTAGATACTCATTTAGAACATCATTTTCAAAATTTGAGTAAAATTTTATTAAAAAATGCGAAATCTATTTCACAAATGTCTTTTATGAATGATCCATAGAGTCAAAGTCATTATCGTCTCATTCATCGATCGAGGTTACAACTACGGTGAATCACTCGGTAGACAACAATCTGATTACTGATGAATATCAGCAAGAAACTCATTCTGTATCAGATACATCTCCTTTGCAACTACATTCATTATTACCATCTCATCATGCATTTCGTTTTATTTCATTATCTGCACAAGTTTTTTTATATTATCTAACTTGTGGCTACTTATTAGTTCGTTGTATTAATATAAAACATTAAATGTTTATTTAATTATCTTTATTTTAAAGGAACTTCTATTCACATTGGAAGGCTTCAAATATACATCTTGGTTTCTAGCATGTTATCAATTTTTTATTTATAGTATTCTTTCATTTATTCAAATTGGTTTTACTGGATTAAGTCAACGAAAGTATTTGATATTTTCGAAGTCTTGTTTTTTGTGTCGAAACAATTTTTATTTCTAGAGCAAGTTATCGATCTTATCTAATTCTTGCCATACTCACTGTAGGTTCTATGGGTTTATCAATTCATTCAGTTGGTTATTTGAATTATCCGTAAGAAAACATTATGAATTTAAATATATATTTATATATTTGTTTAGTACACAATTAATGTTTAAATGTTGTAAATTAATACCGGTACTTATTGGTGGTATTATTATTCAAAGTAAAAATAACTAAGAAGAAATCTAAAAAGAAATACAATGTTTTTTTTTTTATTTTTATTAAGAAAAAAGATTTAATCGTTATGATGTTGCTGCTACTTTTTGTATGTCAATTGGATTAATATTTTTTACTCTAGCTGATTCAAAAGTTGGACTAAATTTTAATGCATACGGTATAGTTAATATAGAAACAAAAGTGACAAACAAAATTTTATTCGATAGAAATCATTATTCTTTAGGTGTAATTATTGTATGTTTGGCTCTTGTTGCTGATGCTATTATTGGTAATTATCAAGAAAAAGTTATGAAAACGTATCATGTATCAAATGTTGAATTAGTAATATAAAAGACAAAAGTCTTTTTCATTTCTAATTATAATTACTTTAGATATTTTATAGTTTTACATTTGGTTTTCTTCTCATTTTACTTGGCTTATTAGTAACAAATAATTTATTTTCAAGCATCGCTTTTTGGAATAAGGTTTTTATGTTTTGTCTATATTAATATAATTTTTTTTCATATGTAGAATGATTATATTAGTTAAAAAACAAATAGATATCAAAGTCAAGTTGTTCTATGATAGAAGAACAAAAATTCAATCGAAAACATAAGCTTACTAACTGATAAGATTAAAAATAAAAATATCACAAGATCATCGTTCGTCCACAATTACTCTAATGGATTGATATTACACTATGTATAATAAGACTCCTGAAGGAATCTCAGAAGATATCCCTTCCGTTTTCAATGATTTTTTACACCTACATAATGTTCTAATATAAATCTTTAAAATTTTTATGTTTCTATTACGAATTAACGAAACTATACAGCTTGATTAGAATATTCTTGATAAATTTGCTGTGTTTATGCAAAACATCGAAGACTCTTTATTTTGACATACTCGGATAGAGAACATCATTTACTCTATCGAATCATATAGTTTTTATTTTATATCTTGTCGAAAAATTTGATTAAGTTCGTGAATGTCTGAAATGAAAACTTTTGTACATTCAGAATTCAGCAACAATAAACTGAGCAAATTATTTTAGATGGAAGAAGTCGATCACAATTTATCGTGCAAAAAATAGTAAACAAAAATGATTTGAAATTAAGAAGAAAAATGATCTTAATTGTTAAATTTTGACTCATTTTTATAGCAGTAAAAAGTTGAGTTTGTATTGCTTTTTTGCAAAACTCCCAGTAAATATGATCAAAAGAAATATGGAATAAGCTCATGGAAAAAAAGACATGTTTCGAAGTCCTGAGAAAAATTATCTGGAATTCGCTGGGTCAAAAATAACATTGTAACTGTTTTTCGAGATTTATTAAATTTTTCTACTAAAATCAAATGGAACAAAGAGGTACACTATTTGTTTCGATAGAATAATCCATGCTCTATCTAACTGCATCAAAATAAGAAATCTTCAATACTTTGTATAAATACAGTAAATTGCACAAAACTAAAAAGAATAACGTAACTCAACTGTATATTCATCTTTTTGATACCGGATTTTTCAGGAAGATTCGTATTATTGAATTGTGATTTGAAATCTTGCGCATATAGAGAACTCAATTAGACTAATTTCCATAAAAGTATTTCAAAATTTTGGAAACGTCTCTTCGAAATATGAAACTTTTAAAAAATTCATAAGCGAACATTGGGAAATGACACTAATTCTTTGCAAATATTCTCGTGCGAAGCAAAAATATTGGACAAATTGATTAAATCTTCATGTATATAGTTTTATACAAAAAAAAAAAACATTCGTCATAAACATGAACAAAAGAAGTATGAAGATGTCAAATATTCTTAGAGTAACCATGTTTTGTTTCGAGATATATATATACGTAAGTCAACATTCTTTGAATCTCATTCATATCTGTGATTAGTGAATATTTATTAATTTAATAGATTCTTGTCTTGTCATATTAAAATCTATTTTCTTAGATTATTATTTAGTAGTAAATGATTAAAATGAAATTTTTCTTTAGCATCCTCTTTCAACTTATGGTTATGCTTTAATACTTTCTATCTTTGGTTATTTGGGTATCGATGTTGTTTTAAATTTGATTAAAGAATATGGTGCATTAATTTGTGTTACTGTGACAACATGTCGAAAAGCTATAACAATTATATTATCATTTACACTTTTTTCAAAACCATTTGTTATCGAGTATGTCGTTTTTTTTTCTTCATTATTAGATTTTATTTTTTATTTTTGTTTCTAATTTTTATTAGTTATGTTTGGTCCGGTTTAATTGTTGTTCTTGGTATTTATCTCAATGTTTATAGTCGAAATCAAATAGCATTTAATAGTAAAATATCATCGTATACTAATCGTTTATTAAGTTTATTTCGGTAATCAAAGTTTTTAACATCAACTAATTAAATATTCAACAAGTGTAAATAAAAAAAAAAAAAAAGAAGAAAATATTATATGATTCAATAGAATTTATCAGAAACTTTATAATAAATAGGTTATATCAGAAAAAATAGAGATGCTATTTATATTAATGTGTTTTAGGGGTGTGTACGTGAGTGTTGTCTTAAGCCCTATCCACTAACTCACGCCCTTCATAGAAATATTCATAAACATCAGTAAAATGTTTTTGGAAGAAAACATGCAAAAACTTGAAAAGAATCTAGACCAACTGGTAAAGAATCTTGGACCAGATCGAAGCAGCCGTTTATGGTTATCGTTTGTAACATTGCCCTTCATTCTGCTCGGGGTGGTGTGTGGATAGAGACAATCAATACACCTACACCCATACATTCGAGTGTATACTGTTTGGTATGTGATGATGAATCAGCACTAGTAGTTGAAGAGAAAGTATTAACGAAAATTGATGATTGAAATGGTTTAGTAAGAACAGAATTAGAATGAGAAAAGGTCGTGGGTATGGGTGTTGGTAAAGAAAAAACCAGTCCACATCCACTCTCATAGCCCTACTAAATTAAATTATTTTAATGATTCAATCAAGTTTATCGTTTTGTTAAATGATAAAATTTGTTTTTTAATAAATAAAATAATGCTAAAATAATTGATAATATTAATAAAGTTAAAAACAAATATATTTAGATAATTGTTTATTTATTTTGTTAGCATCTTCTATCTATCTTTCATATCTATTATATACTATTTATCATTGTATTTGATAGTGTGAGGCGTGGATGTGAAGATGTGCAGTTTTTTTCATGTTCACCCATTTTCCACATTCTTATGTTGTTGAAACTGAAGCTGGAAGATTTTTCTGATATTGAATATTAATAAACATTACCAGCCTTTACTAGTATATTCAAGATAGTTTAGTGTTTAAGAACTTCAATTAGACCTACAGCAATTAATCTGCAGTCTGGATCATTAGTAGTTCAATGAGTTTCAAGTAAGAATTTGATTTGAAAACTAATATGTTACATTCAGTAAATCATCATTCGGCACAAAAATAACTGTAGATTTGATTGTATACAAGTCTCCAATATCCACTCATTGTTGATTTTTCATAGATTTTTTTCTTCGAATTTAGAAGTCAGAAGAGTTATAATCGTATTAACCATTTATGGTATTAAGCAGTTGACTATGTAGGAGAGACGAGCTTCCGAGGCATCTAATAGAATTGTGAGAGAAGTCAACACTTGAACGATAGTTGATGAATAAACAGTGATTGTACTATTATAGTCAACTTTGACTTTTCGAAGTGATTAAATGTTGATAAAGCTTACTTTTTTAAAATAGAGTCAAAATATTAAAAAATAAATTTTTTTCGCACTGTTCTACGTGCGTGAAATTAGAGTGCAGTTTGATTTCATTGATCGAATAGTTTTCTCTATAGAACTTATTAAAGCATATATATATTTAAGACAAAAGAAATAGTTAAGATAAAAACTGGTTCAGTAGTAAATAAAAAAAAGAAATAAATTAAAGTTAAAAAATAGTTAAACGTTCAGAAAAGTAAGTGCAGTAAAAAGGAGCATGATTACAGTAAAAATCACTAGACAAAGACGATCGATAACCATTGCCACAAATTGCCAATCTTGAGATTCATTAGCATCTTTCTCTTTCTGTTGAAAATAATTAATAAGAATAGCAAGTTGAGAAATAATAATCCGTAACTCAGAACGAATCATTTCCATATTACATGTGTACAATTCATTAGATGTATTTTGATGATGACGAGAACCATGAATTTCTGTTGCTGAAGATACAGCGAATTCTAAAGTTTCTTTGTCGACATTTATAACATTGGTTGATAACAATTCGAATGTATTATTCAACAATGGTTCAGAAGAAATCTTAGAATGATGATGATTATCGATCGATCCATTTATATTATTCGATTCTTGTTTTGAGAAAGTCCATCTATGACGAATCGCACGCCAACTCAAATCATGATTAGGACGCTTCATACGTAACAGCCACGCCAAATAATTACAAATATAGTTACGAACCTAAAATGATTTCTAAAATCATGTGATTTATTTATTTTGAAATATGATTTACCCATGATGGCATTGTATAATTACTTGAATTTCGTAAATGAAGTGATAATACTAATACTGATGCAACAACTGAAACCGCTGACATAATCATAATACACATGAAATAAACGGTAATAATTGGTATAGCATTTGAACTTGGTGGTAGAATTTCTGATAGAAGTAAACTGAACATAACAACAGTTAGAAGAGTTGTAATATCTGAAAATTTAGAATGTATAACAAAAAATTTTTTTTAAATCATCAAATTCTAACTCACGTAAGGTTAATTTTTCACCACTATCAGGTGATAATAAAAATCCAAGTGGTGTCATACAACTGATAAGAAAACAAGGTACTATGAAATGGAAAAAAAAATAGTATTAATACAATGATTAGAAGAAAAAAAAAAGATGTTATCATTTATAGTTTTATTACCAACGATACTTGTAAAGTAATAAAGAGAACGTCGACGCATTCGGATAGTGTATAATACATATGGATACATATTTGGACAACAATCGTATTTGGTGACATTATTTGTTGCAGAAAAATCTAAAACAGAATGAATAGAATAAAACACACATAATCCATAATCAACTACCTTCTAGATCCCATTCGGCACTTTTGACATATGCATCTAATTGACCTTTGCTACTTTCAACTGTCAGATTGACTCCTAAAAAAATTAAAAAAATACATATAATATGCAGAAACATTTGGCAAATCATTCTAGAGGAAAAAAAATGATTTAATCACATACCATCATCATCATATGTCCAAGATCCAAATTTTAGAATACAATATTGTGTATCCGAAAAAAAAGACAAATATTCAAGAAAAAAGTACGATATGATTGACATATTTTTTTTTTTGATACTTACAAATGGAAATGAGGCAATATTAAATGGACAATTTGATTTGAATGATACTGGCGGGACATATAGTATATTACCATCATATTGTACAACGGCATTGACTTTCGCTCTAGTATCAAACTTTTCATCGGCACTTAAAAAAAAAAACAAACATCGTTTTTTTCAAGATATCTATTCTTTGAAAAATAATAACGTGTTATATAGAAAAATATCTGGTATCCAAATTTGTGTACTTGGTATTCGTAGTGTTTGAATATTACCAAACTCTTCTGGTTTCCATCTTAAACTATAATCATTCCACATCTATACAGACATATATGAATAATAAGAGCAGATATTATAGTTAGGCATGCAATGATGATGATAATCGGAACCAGTCCTACCAGTAACCGGTATTAGGTTAATAATAGTTTATACAGACCCATGGAGGTTTAGCATTTTTTGCTAACCAAATGTAAAAAAAGATATCTTTTACTAAGAAAATAAGTTTTTAGTGGAACAATAATTTTTTTGTATACATATACAACTTTTCGTAAAAGAATTTTTTTTGCAAAAAAATAATCAAACTTAAAGCTGCGAAAAGCCAATTGCAGACCGAAAAAAAACACAAGTTTAGAATTTTGAAAAACTGAGTACACCCTAAGTCGGTATAGCCTGATTCCGGTAAAAACTGGTTACCTGTTTGAAACTGTGAACCGATGATTCACCGTCACTGTTGCATCCTTAATTATAAATAAGTATACATACGATAGTCATCCAGCCACTAATAACAATAGCTTCATTCTTTCCATCCTATTTATATTTCAAGATCGAAGAAAACATGAAAAACAAGTGTTTGATCTTACATACAAAATTAATGATTTGTTGTAAAGACAAATTTATAGTGACAAGTAATGTGTGAGAGTCATTTTGAACAGGTCGTGCAATTGGTTTGTATCGATTATTAGGTAATAAATGTTTTAATAAACGAAGTTGATCAGGACTTCCAACTAATATTCATTATTTTTTCATTTTCGAAGAAATTCATTAACTCACTTATGAAATTGAAACAATAACATGTGATTAGAAGAAATAATTTAAATTGTCGTTGAATTGTATGAAACATTTTCTTTGAAACTAAGAAGACAAGATGTATTAGACTTTTTTTTTGTCAAAAATTTTTTTTTACTAATACAAAAATATAAAATGTCGACAAAAGAGAGCAATAATAGAATCCATCAGGTCTATAATTTTGCAATTCTCAACAGTATTCCTAATACTTTTAATGAAAGTTTCATATTCAAATCTCATAGTCGCTTCGAAGATATAAGATACTTTTTTTTCTCGATTATTTTTATTTATTTATTAGCATTTATGGAGAGAACTCAAGAAAAAAAAAGGCTCAAAAGAAAAACAACAAGCACCTTTACTTCTAGCTGAAGTTACAACTCGATTTTTAAACTAATGTGCACATTCTACAATAGGACATGTAACAAAATGTTTCGATTATTCGTACCACTATAAAGACTTATGATGTAGATCTACGAGAGTGTATCATTGATTTAAATTAATACAGAAATATTTCGTCTTTAAACTAATTAAAATGTCCTGAACAGAGAAAATCAAAACTGAATGGTAAATCAATAAATTTTAAACTATTATCAATAGCCGAAACATATTCGATCTGAAAACAATACTTTACAATAATATCTATACGGCTAAAATATTACTGCATTACTATAAATCAAATTTTTATAATATCAGATCTTCATTAGTTAGTAATGATTTCGAGAATCATTCAAGTCAATAATGACAAATTGTGATGAGAAAAAAACCATAGTAATTATGAAACGACATTAACGTTAAATTCACGTGTAAAAACAAGGAAATGACGGTTGCTGAATATTATTCGCAGGTAAATATAATCGTATAGGCCATCCTATTCCGTAATTAAAATGAAGAACGAAAAAGAAAGATAAACATTAAGTAATTACGATAGACAACTTACTTATCGCTTTGTCATAGTTGAATGATAGAAAATATGAATAGAAAAAATCCGCATGTGATGATAAAGATAATAATGCCTAGATAGAATGATAGCACTTCCCAAGTTTTCTTACAGTCAATTGAGTTTCATGTTTGATATGCAGACTTTATAAAGTAATTGGGCAGCTATCAAACATAACACATCATTTTATTTCGAAATTCAATTCCTTAAACAGCAATTACTAACAGTTTTTTTTTAATTACTAGTATATAGAATGTGAAAGACAACGATATTTTTTTTAGCACGTGCTTCACCGTTAATTAATAATATTATTGTAGCTGGTGCTTCTTTTCATGGAAAAAGTGCATTGGAAAAAAAAGCGACGTTTGTTTTTACTACAACACCGAGTGTCCATAATGTTGTAACATTTTTTATTTTGCAAAGATCTGGGCTTAGGTAGATGATAAAATCTTAGACTTATCTTCAAAAGATGCGCTGTGACAAGGTCTACAAAAGCTGTATGAATGCATTTCTTGTTATCTGTTCTAATCATTTTTCTTATTCTCAAAATGAGCAACTTACATAGCAGTGCTACATCCCATCATAATGAAAACGTTGGAAGACTTTTTTGTTCTGCCCATATCTCGACTCGAGAAAATATTTGAAATTTTTTCAGATATGTTGTGCATGTTGAGCATAAGAAAAAGCATTACAAGCAATAAAAATGAATTCAATCATACAATTCTTGTAGAGCTTTTCACGGCGGATCTTTTGAAAAAAAATCCAAGTTTTTGTCATCCACCGAAGCCGAGACCTTTGCAAAATAAAAAATGTTCGGCATTACGGACACTCGGTATTGTTGTAAAAACAAATGTCACTTTTTCTTCTAATATACTTTATATTTTAAACTGCATTTGAGGTTCAATGTAAATATACCAAAAGATAGAGTGTGTTCCAGGCTTTCTCTCTATATATACGCAGGTTAATATATAAAAAAAAAATATTCAAAGGGTATAATTTCAATTATACTGGATTTTATATAAAAACAAATTTATTAAATAAATATTATATGTCGATGATTCCACTGTATATGTGATACGTTTACATCGATTTCTTCAAAATCGATTTTCATGTTTGAAATCATGTAGAATATAATCGATTTACTTACTATGATAACAAAAGATTCGCTATAAATTCCAATGTTGAAGAGATTAACGATTGAGGGTGTGGGTATGGGTGAGATAATAACTAAAGCTCCCACCAATACTGTTTTATACGATTACTCAGCATCTAATCATGAGTGAAGTTACAAGGTAAATATAATAATCAAACAGAGCATGGTAAGTAGTGTCCTGCAGGAGCAGCTTTTCTCGGTTGCCGTTTCCCATTCCCGTAAAAAAGAAGTTTTGTTCCCGTTTCCTGTTTCCATTCCTGTAAAAACAAGTTTTGTTCCCGTTTCTGTATTCTCGATCCAGTAAAGAAATTTTTTTTCCCGTTCCCGTTCCCGTTTCCCGTTCTTGTAAGACTTTCAAAATTCCTACTACGATTTCATTTTCCGTGTTTCAAAAAAAAAACCTATCATTATCCAATACTAGCTCTTCACACACTAGGTCAGACATATCAGCACACAACTCCTTAAACTCCATCACAGACTGTGATAAATATCATGAAAATTCTCATATATGATTAAAGCGACTTCATCGGCTTTCACATTTTAATCTTGTAGGGATTATGCTGAAAATGTTTTTAATGTATATATAAGATATGATTATATATTTAGAATGAAGTACCAAAATAAATAAATAGACACTACATACAGTGCAATACAGTCGTTTCTCCTCTAACTAATCTAATCGATTAGTCTGGATGTTTGTTCTGGAGGCTGATTATTGCTTCATAGCCTGGTAGCGAAGATAATGGTCACAGTGGAAGTGACGCTGACACCACTGGCGTCACACAGGATCTGGTTCCGATTTGGACATCAAAATATTGTGTTTCATCGTTTTTAGTACATTTGATTTCTAGTATATAGCTCACGCGAAAATTTCTATCGTCCAAACGATAAAAGTAGGAAGAGAGAGTGCCTGCTGGAAGCTGTAACTCCATGCTACTGTCACTGCATCATGTGGTCTGCTGTAATATAACTGTTCGTTCAATGAATGCATATTGAACTTCGTAGATGCGATCCAATTGACAATGTATTGGTGTCGGTAAATCAGTCCTGATTCCAATGATTTCACCAGGCACATATACTCGTTTGTTTAGTTGAATTCTTTTGGTCGAAAGTAGCGACAATGATTCGAGGCCGAGTTCGAATTGGCGATCTACTCGAAATATTCAACTGAGCCTGAAATACTGTTTCTGTGGATCAGATGTCGATTTCATCCATCTTTTTCCAATAACAATGCGTGAATAGATGATATATTTGCCGCCTCTCTGATCATTTAACAATACTGACAGATGATCAGACAGTTTAATAGAAAAATTTCAAACGTTTTCACCCATTTTTTAGATGATCTTCTCTTGGCCATCCTTTGGTTCGACTAGCTTGTTACATTCGCAGAAGAACTTTACTCTGGTATCACTATCAGAGATAATTTCTCCTTTAGCTTCTACTGTAATCTAACTCAGTTTAACCCTTTCAATCCTGATATTTTCTATCATTCTATACAAGGTTGAAGAAAATCTAGATTTCTCTCTCTCTTGCGTTCTTATTTAGATAATCAGCTGTACACGAAGTTCAGCTGCGTTAGTTGAGTACGAAAAAAAAAATTTTCACAGCGAAGAATACATGCGTTTCTTTGAACACACATGTGATATGTATAATGTGGGAAGATGACAGAACGCAAAATTTCTATATTACAATACGCATGTCATCTACGAGATGACATACCGTATTGAAAGGGTTAATTCTGTCTCGTCGTCGAACAAAAATAACGGAGCCAGTGATCGTTTCACCGGAAAAGTAAACTGATGATGACTTACCATCAAAATTTAGTCGCAACTCATCAATACTGACGGTTGATCCCATTGTCGATCAGATTTGTTTATACAATAATACGTTCATTTTCTCTCAAATAATAAAAGAACATAATGTGGCTAATTAAACACGTTACTAACATTACGAAATTAATTTTATCATTTGTTCGGAAACTGCTTAAATAAACTCCACAGACAAAATGAGAGTGTGGGTGTGGATCTTCTCTTCAACAGAAACCACACCATTTTCCGGCTGTTTTATTAGCTTTTCATTCACTGTTGATAATTGTTTTCATGAGTAGAATTTAGTTTGAGATTTATTTAAAACGAAAATTAGATTGTCATTCAATTGTATTCAAAAACTCAATTGAAATAACTGTTCTTTTTGTTTTTGAGAATAATGCATAGTCAGACGAAACTTCTAAAAGCTCGAAAAAGACTAGTTTTTTATATTTTAATTTTTACGCTGGTCAAACGGTAATCAAATCTTATTTAAAGTTTAAATTTCCAATTTTTTTGAACAGATTAGAACATTACTTCAACGATCTATAATGTATTTTCTCTAGATAAATAAAACTCTAACACTTATTTGTATCACTAAATACGAGAAAACTTCGAAAGAAAATTTAATAATGATAAGCGATTATATAAAGATTTGCATAAATATAATCAATTACTAACAAGATCATAGAGTATCAAAAGTCTGAAAAGACATTGATGACGAGTACATTATCTAGTATGTATATTTACTTCATAGTTTAACGCAAAACTATGAAACAACAATAATTTTATTTAAAGATCATAAATTATCAGAACATCAATTAATGACAGAATACATTAATATTAATTATTAGATTTTATTTTGATCTCTTGTACTATTAAAACTAATCTCCCTCTTTTTCTTGATCATATAAAACAAAAATTAAAAATTTGATGTATTCCAAAGTAACTCTATGCAAACATAAATATTCTTTGAATAATACTGAAAATAATCTATTTATTCTTGTCATCTAATGAATCACGTTTATTATTGAATTCAAAAATTTGATCATTTTTAACAATATACAAAATTAAATTGCTCGTGGTGAATGAAAGTCACGTTTGGAAGTATCAATTGGCGGCTTTGGATCACTCATTCGTTTGTCATGACTGTATGAATACGCATAATTCAAACTAGCTGATTCACTATGTCTATTAATCCACTCTGTAAGAAATACTATTTGACGATGTCGAGGTGGAATACAATCATGAGTGTTAAAAGGAAAGCCACTATGACGAGAATGACGCACATTTTTTGCATGTTGTACATTAACGTCAAACATTAGATTATGTGTATCCGATTGGTTTTCGACGATAAGCATTTTCAATCCCAATTCACCTGATGTTGTATAAACAATAACGTCTTTGTTCTTGAAAACAAAACAAAAACAAACAAATCTTATTTTTTTTGAAATAATTTATACAAAAAATCAAACCATTTGCTTTTTAGAATTTTTCATAGCTGCTGAAATTAGACAATCAGAAAGAAATGTTGCCGGTTTTGTTTTCATAGTTAACTCAAGTTGAACACTTGAATTTATGACAACAGTAAAATCTCTATTTGAATTATCATTTTTCCAGAAACTAGTTGAAAAAGGTATAAGTACATAATAACCAGCTGATAATGATCCATTCCAGTATGTATGTCCTCCTTGTTTACCTATCAATATACTTTTACGTTTACCAACAATACTATTTGATTTTAAATCGTCAATATCGCATAAAACAAATGTCTGACTATGAGAACTACGTGTTTTTCGATCTTGTCGATGATGTATCACGCTTATAGTGATCGATGTTCGTCTAAAGATATTACATAGAATTATCCAAAATAAAAATAAAAAACAAAATAGAATATACTTACTTTGGTACATGTAAATAATAAGTCATAACATGTTCAGTAGATGATCGAGTAAATTTACATTGTTCACGTATATCAAAATCATCACTATTATAAGTTGAAATAATTATGGAAGAAAAATAACGAAGGAATCGAAGCCATGACATCCAAAAAGCACCCACAGAACTATCGGCAGGATTAACTGAACGTAATCGTTTAAGAATACTTTCTGTCACTGCTTCTTCTCGATAGTTTGAATGAGAATGAGGATCACGGACTAATACTAATCTTTTTGTTGCATCTCCAAGTTCACACGCAGAAAGAATAGAAAAAGCATGATTCTTATGAATATGAACACGAGCATATTCTTCTGAGCTTACATCATTTCTACCTGATGCTGTTCCAATCAATGATCTAAAACATAAATTTCCTTTTCATTCTATAATAGATTCTATTCAACTTACTTTGCTTCACATGAAGTTAAAAGTTTAGTCCAAATTAAATTACTATCAAATATATTCTTCGATGGTTGAAGATCAATATATTCACATGGTACTCCAGTCAATAATTGAAGACCTTCACGCATATCTCCACCTCTTAGAGCAGTATAAGAACCATATAGTTTTGCACATGCTTTTTCAATTAATGGAGCATACAATTGACGATGTTTAGCTTGTGTGAAAACTAAATATTTATGTTTCGTGCATGGAAAATAGTCGTCAATAATAATTGTTTTCCATAAACCATTATGACAAATACGTACAAGATAAACACCTTCATTATTATATTTTTTTGTAAGAAGAATATGTTCAAGTAAACGAGGTTGTTCAGAAATCAAAGCTAAAGCGGCTATTAACCAACAATTACCTAAAGCACCTTGTTGAATATCAGTCGGTTTAGGAGATGAAAATATTGTCCATGGTAATTTACGATCATCATGAGACAATGGAGTAACTTCTGATATTCGTAGCCATTGTGAATATTGATTGAATGAGTCTGCTCCGAGAGATCGAGTTGATGGAGGAAACTGATTGTCCACAAAATTTTGTTTATTCTAAAAACATAACAAATACACGAATACTAGACTCTTGGATAAAATTATTGATACTATTAAATACCCGTCTACAATGTTTAATGATTCTTTCAAATATGATTTCAGCATTGGATTCATGCTTATGCCGCCGATCACGAACAGTCAATGACATAAGTGTTTGTAATCCTGGTGTATCGTCGTTGTCCTTAATCAAAAAAGAAACTTCAATAAATGTTCAAATGTTTGATAGATTAAGAACTTACTAGTACATGTTTTCGTTGACCATGTGCACCGCCTTCTACATTGATAATCTTATCGTTTGGTGTATATTCATAACAGAATACATTTGATTTTGATTGATCATCATTAGGAAGATCTTCTGCAGACTCCAAGAGTATCTGCTGACACATTGGACAAAGTGGAGCATCTTCTGTTTGGATAGAACATATTGGACACCACCATTGATCGACGATGGAAGGTAACGATGGGTCAACGTTGATCTTCAATAAACCAGCAACCAATGATCTAATCGACAACGCGAGCGCTTTCGAAATTGGGGACTGTTCCATTTCCATCAGTATATTAATCTTCGAAAAAATTATAATTTCAATATCAATCGTCTTAGTTTGTAATGTTTTTTTTTTTCAAAAAAATACACATCTCCGAAATATACTTAACAGGGTATTATGTTTGTGAAGTAGTTCTACATAGCGTTTTGATTTATGTCGAATGATAGAGAACGATAAGGCGTTCGATTGTAAAAAAAAAATCAAACGACACGAAGAAATAAATAAGTATCAACTTGATATTTTATTGAAATTTTTTCAATAAGATCTTAACAAACTAACGCAAAAAATTACTACTTACGACTATCATGTACCAGTAAATTCTAAGATCAAGTGAGAATATTTTTCGTACAGGAAAAACATACTCTTCTTAATTAATGCATATAATATTAGGAAACAGCATTATAAATCTGAATAGCATAATATACGTTGTATCCAAAAATTGTTTTCGTCGAACTTTAATGTACGATGAATTCCTAGTAAAGTCTTTAATTGGGAGGATTATGCGTCGAATTTTAAATGGAAAATATTTTTAGATACAATGTGCACTGTGCTACCAGGTTTTAACTGGCACTTAGCCGCTAAATAACTTCTTTTCTTCTCTGCTTATTTATTCATTGTTCTCTGTCTATATTGTCGGAAGAACAAAATTTATCAGCATGAATAAAAGAAAGAGAGTGTATGTGACGAAAGACAAGGATACATAATAACACTCACAATCTATGCGAGCCATAGTTTTTAACCTTATCGCCAGGTAAAGAGATGCCTAAGTACTTTTTTTCGAAAAAATACATTAAAGAATCTAGAATAGATAGTTCCATATGCTACATGATGAACACCATCGATAACTTTAAAAAAAACTCGAAAAATAAACAAAATTCGACTTTTGAATTATCAGAACATTATACGTGATCAACAGAATTACTAATTCGTAGAAGTACAAACGATGCTAAGCATTACATGCATCCTTACCTTTAAAGGTGAAGAAAAAATGTAACGTATCGAAAAAGTTGTTCGTCTTACCGTAATGTTGAAAAATTTTCGTTTTTTTATTCTGTTGTTAAAGGTAGACGTCAAATTATTATTGACATAAGAGGACATAGGTGAATCAATGGCGTGGACAGGATTCATCAATATAAAGAATAATAAGAAAGAAGAAAAACGTGAATGAATGAGTCGTTATATGTACAATCAAATTATTCATCGAATTTGCTTTGAAAATTGTTTGACCTTCTACAGTTTATTATAGGAACAACATTACTTATAGCAAATAGTATTTCATTTTCAAGTTGTATAACTTTTGCATACACAAGTCATATAAATGAAAAGGAGTCGACAAAAGACCACCTACAGTATTAGGGGTATTAAATCATATTTTGAAAGTAACATTTAAATATTTCAACTAGAATATGAGAGAAAATAAATATAGAACTGATTCGATTAATCAATTAAAATAGTTCTTATATTTTCAATAATTTAATGCAAAGAGATTTTGTCTCAACGATATTAAGCTTGCTGATTAGTGACTCTTTCCAATCTTGTATTGTAATATATATGTAAATATAATCGCAATTAAAATTCTATCGACTATAATTGAACAATGCTATTTGTTAACTAAAATTCTTTTTGTTCTTTTTTGTAGATGTGGGTTTGGGTATGGGTGTGAATGAAAGAAGAAGACACTCTTGCCTACCTTTTTGAATTTTATTTCAACTTGTATTTTATCTGTATAACTATGTTTCTTTCACAACAATGTAACAACTATATATATTGTGATAACAAGAAAGGGAAATCTATGATATAAGGTGCAATAAAAAAGAGTAGAAGAAAAGAAAAATCTATGATCCATGACTAATAATAAGAGAAAAGAAATATAATCCTATAGAAAAAGAGGGAAAAATCTTTATGACTGCATCTGAAGAAGATGCAGGTCATAACATACATCCATCCTTAAGTTAGCACTACCAAAAACAAAAAACAAAAAGAGAAGGATTGATTTGTTCATGTTTAGTCAATTGGAGGAACAAATATTCATGCGTATAATTATTTTTTCATGTATTATATCTAAAATAAGATACTTGTTTTGAAGTTATTTCAGTTAATATATTTATATAATGGCTTGTATTGTTTTGGTTTATCATGTAAATTTCTTGGTTTCTTCACATTAACAATACGAAAGATCTCTAGAATACAAAGAAATTTAAATATATTGTGAATAAAAGAACTAGTTAGGTTGAAGAGTATTTACTATTTTATGTGTTTTCATAACTCATTTAATTTTATAGAGTCTGAACTAAAAAGAACATTCATAACTTGAAGCGGTTCCCTCGTAAGATACTGATTATATGTCTTGTCATCAAGCGCAGATGAACTTTATATTCAAATCTTACCAAGAAATTCATTAACATCAATTTTTCCGTTTTTATCGAAGTTCATTGCAAAAGTGAATTCGTCAATATATGGTAGATTTACATCATCAGTATCATTTTCACCATAAATTAAGAGTTTAATAACATCAGAAAATTCACCACGATTTACAAAACCTGTGACATATTACGTATGATACGAAAGTAATGGGGAAAATGTCGAGCCATATTTCTTTTTGATAGAAGGATGTGGGTGTTGGTTTGGTTTCGAAACGACACACACCGACATCACATATCTACATCCACACCCCTGTTTTGACTTTTCGTTGTGTGACAAAGCGTGTAAGCTTTTAATCAGTCTAAAACATGCGGAAAAGAATGATGCTTTTTTCATCAATCATCGAGCGTCTGCATTTGTGATAACTGTCACATCCTTGCCTTTACCATCACTAGTGTCTATTTGAACCTGACCATCAAATTCGTTTCCATTAGCAAATGATCGATTGCGAGTCTCTGGAAGAAGAGCGACGAATACAATCATAAGTAAAGCCAAAGCGAAACACATATAAAATGTTATTTTGATATATTTGTCATTGACGGCAGCATCGATAATGGGCGCTAGGATAAAGCCACAACTGTTAAAAAACACGAAGACAGCATTAGCCAAACCTCGCATCGATGTTGGGAAAAGTTCTGGATTATAAATCCACGAAACTGACAAAACTCCACTAATTGTCAACTTTCCAATTTATGAAGTGATAATAGTCGCAATAGGATAAGTTTCGCTAATGAATGGAATGATTAGTACACATACCGATGTTAATGATGCGTAAACCATCATGGAATACTTTCTTCTGAATTTTGTATTCATGAGAAAACTAGTCGAGATATAACCGATACTCTCGACACCGGCCTCGATGATAATACTCCAGTGAGGGAGGACTCAAAATGTCATTCATTGCACCGAGTCCATACGAGATTTTGATGTACAGAAGCATCGTTACAAAAGCGATGATACTACTGATACTCAAACGGGGTAATAAATGTAGAATCTTTGTCTTCTTCATTTGTTTTATACTTTTAATGTCAACCGGATGATTGCGTAACAATTGAGTATAATGCGGAAACCATTCTGTGTCTGTACGACCATTGGTTGTAGCGATTTTTCAAAGACGGTGTGGGTGTGGACCTTATTCACTTGCACCCACACCCACATCCTACTATCGATTTCCAGAATAAGATGAGTGACATGAGGTAATGGACATTCAAATTTAAAGTGTGCTCCGATATATTTGATAGTGACATTGAGCGTTCTCAGCTGTAATATTGATAGACAAATGTTTTCAAGTATCTTTAGTAAATAGTTGAAAAGTGTCAGAGAACCAAGACGAAGAAGAATTACAGATATCTCAATTGAAGTACAATAGATACAATCGAGACTGATTTGGCAAATGCAGCGCTCAATGATAATGAACGAAGATCATCGAGTTTGTTTAGATGCATATAAATAGTTTCCCATGATTTCATTTCGATTCAAATGTCGCCAGCAAATTTAGGACGTCTGTTTTGTTATTATAATGCTTTAGTCGATTGTTCGTTCTATACAAGGATGAGTCTCTTCTTTGAAGAGATAATAATGGAAATATCATTGATGTCATTTTGAGAACGCTCGTTACATTCAGAATAGATGAAAGAACCCGGGAAGGCGCTGTAACGAAAAATGAAGGATAGACTGTTTCGTTACTACTGCAATATTTATTTTATTGTTGATTAGCCTTGAGAAACTGGAGGAGTAATATTAATCGCTATCCTCGATGTACGATGTTCACTACAGTACTTCATTACTCCAGTTCTGTCCATTTCATAGAGAACACAGGTTTATATACGAGAGAGGAAACAAAGAGAATAGAGGACAGAGTAAGTGGGCAGCTACTATCGGTCATGAGGTCAGAACGCCTAGCTGCATAGTGACCGAATATTGACCCGTCAATGAAATAATAGAAGATTCATATAAGTCGTGACCTTATTATCGGCACACCCGCGTTTACCATTTTAGCATTAAATAATGAGATTGGTCGAGTATTTTCTATTGATTGAAAGCATACGAAGCGAGAGCTTGGACTTGGATGTCGCTTGCTAAAAATAGATTTTTATTTGACCAATACAAAGCATCATAATTAATGTCTTGTTTGCTATATTGTGAGAGACTCGTACGATAAAATATCGAGACATTTGTTGATTGACTACATGTCTTTATTTCTTTATTGTGAGTTTCATTCACATACTATCAAGTTTACCATGCGCACTGACCAACTATTGCAGGGCACGGTGTCATGGCAAGATCATGTTGATCTTCAGTTTCAATTGTAAAAATGAGAAAAGCGTTTTTCAAAAAATATGCCTCCTCGAGTCTCAAAATTTTTCGACAAATTAGAACTTCATTGTTATTTATTGAAGTAAATGAACAAGGCTCAATTTTTTATCAATACAAAGAACAATAATAAAGCGTCTAGAAAAAAACATTGTCCATCGATAAAGAAGACTACCGACATTTGAGGACACTCTTATTCACGATCGATCGTTTCCGAGAAAGTTTTAGCAAATGGATTACGTGTGATCTTGAGTTCCGTAATCTAAAAATGA